CTCTTTCTCCCCCTCTGCCTCTCCCTCCCTATCCCTCCTTCCCTCCCTCCCTCCCTCTCTCTCTGCCTTTCGCTCGTAGGCACAGTGCTTTTTGTGTGTGTGTGTGTGTGCGTGTGTGTTAGTGTGTGATAGTGTGTGCGTGCGTGCATGCTTGTGAGTGTGCGTTTGCACTTGTGCATCCTGCGACCCTATATCCGTCTTTGAACGCCTTGACTCACGAGTGCATCCTTACGCCTGCTCCTTAAGTAAATAAAAAAACCCCACCCCCCACACGCCCCAAAAGAGCGAAAAAGTCCCATTCGCCGCGTGCGCCCCGAGCAGGAAATGCAACGGCCGCGCTGTCTTCACAAAGGCCAAGACTCAGGCGAGAGCGAACAGTGTCACCCTTGGCCAGGCAACGTCGGGTGTCAGCAGGTCGCAGGTACACGTCAGCCAGGGTGAAGCCACCGTGTCAGCGCCAGGGAGGCTTGCGTCAGCTCTGTGAGTCGGCCAGACCTGGGTGAAGGCGGCTTTTGTGGGAAGTCTCGTAGGTCGGGTTTGCAGGCAGTGGATCTCGCTTCTCGTCGAAATCTGTGTCGTGCTTATTCGGCATAATCATTTATATATACATATACATATATATATATATATATATATATATATATATATATATATATATATATATATATATATATATATATATATAAAATTCTTTATTGATGTTTTAGCCCATGTTACCTCGTTTTGTGAGAAGGAAATACAATATATCTAGTTGATATGGATAACTAAGCACCATGCCGATTATACTACTCTACTAAATGAATAGACAAAAGGAATAAAGAGAGAGAGATGTGCCTAGAAACGAATAATTGATAAAGTAGGTCGCGAATAGACTTGGTAGCGAGAAATCCCTACAAGATACCGACTGTATATTCGGTAAGTAATGGTAATAGATTTATGAGTGCTCTATGAGTATTCAGTGGTTACCTGGCGTTTGTTCGGCGGGTTGTAAGTGATGGGTAATGGTTACCGTCCCAGCGGTGGCCGAATACCTGGTGTCAAAGCACGTAATTGAGGTGATTCCTGATAACCATTCGGTTACCTGAACAGCTTGCTTGATTAATTAGATGCCTAACCTCCCTCTCCTTCCCCGCAGGCGACGAGGTCGACTACGAGTGCTTCCCTGGGGGGGTGTCCGCCCCCACCGCCCTCATCCGCGACAACTTCCGGGGCTTCTGCAGCACCATGCTGGGGTCCTCCCTGTCCCCGCCTCCCGGGGTCCCGCCGCCCCGCCCCCCGCCGCACAGCCCGCCCCGGAGTGCGTCGCCCGAGTATGAGGCCGTGCGAGCCAAACCGCCCGCGTCGCCCTCGCGTCTGGAGGAGGAGCTGCGGGCGGCGGGCGTCTACTTCCGGCGGCCAGGGTCGTCCCCGCCGCGGCTGGCCCGCCTCAGGAGCCACACGCCCGCGAGGGGGAGCGTGGGCGAGGCGGAGGCGGCGGCGCTGCACGCACTGGACGCCTCGCTGGCTGGCCAGAGCGGCTCGTCGGGCGAAAGCTCCCCCGCTCAGTGCGACGCCGCCCGCGCCCGCGCCCGCACGCCTCCCAGCGCCGCTCCCGCGCGCCTCTCTCGCCACGTCTCATCCCTGCCCCCCGCCCATCCCAGCGGCGTGCCCAGGGGCGGCCAGAGCCCTGGTCAGCACGACGCGGAGCCCCGCCCCCCCGCTGCCCGCGCCGTCCTCAGATCCCCCGCCGTGCCGGGCGCGGACGCGGCGAAGGGCGGCGTCTCCGGGGGCGACCCGCGCCCGGAGAGGCCGCCTGTCCACGCCAAGCCGAATGTGGGTGTCGGCGGCGCCCGCACCGTAGTAACGTTGAGTGGCGAGGACGGGCCTCCCGCCCGCGCCGAGAGCGCGATGGAGAACCTCAACCTGATCGAAGAAGTGTATGTGGACACGCGGCCGGCGCCCGCGTCCTCCGTGTTCATGCGGGCGTACTACCCCGGCGTGCACTACACGCCCACGGGCTCGTCCAAAACGAGCGCCAAGCCGCCGCCGCCCGCGCGCAGGTCCTCGCTGAACCCCGCGCCCAGCCGGAGGGCGGCCCTGGAGGAGGGCAGCTCCCTCGCGCCCGGCGACAGCGACAGCGGGCACGAGAGTGGCGCCACGAGCCCGTGCGGCACACTCACGGGGGACGACACGCAGTCCCCACCGCCCTCGCCGCCCCACGCCCACGCCCACAAGGGGCACGTGCCGCCCGCACACCTCCACGACCTTTCGTCATCCGGCCTCGCCAACCACTCGCGGTCGCCCAGCCTGCAGTCGTGCAGGGGCGCCGCCGTCCTGGAGGGTGAGGTGGGCGTGGCAGTGGTGGGCGAGCCGAGGGACATGAACGGAATGGGCGCGCTCGAGGCCAGGCCGCCCACACACTTCGTGGTCGTGGCCATCGACTTCGGCACGACCTACAGCGGCTACGCCTTCAGCTTCACACGCGACCCCGAGAACGTGCACATGATGAAGAAGTGGGAAG